TACTACATGGACAGAGAAAGTGAAACGAATGATGATTGGTGGAATCGAAATTTGCTTGAAAATGAGTAATAAAAAAGTTTCCAGAGATACCAAGTGGTGGGTTACCGATTGTTGCTTTCTGCTCCCAGGCCCCTGTTGGTAAGTGGTATACTTCAATGAGAGTCGACATTGCTTTCTTCTTTTCATTGTTGTGAGCTCCTGGGAGATCTGGCTGGACACCACCCCACATGTATAGGTATTCCCCTACCCTTAGTGTCGAGTGACCACTTCTTTCCACTAGCTGATAGTCTGAGAAGAGAGATAAGCCGACTGGAAGGCTCTGTTACAGCCATATCGACTTTAATGTGGTTGGGTTTGCTTGTTTACTTAGTGCAATTAATTAAAGTGGACAGCTCATTTCCACCCACTCCCAATTAATAGTGTATTGACTGTTTAAAGTTTGCCTTTGCTAGAAAGTTGTGGGACGGAGGACAAGTTTTTACTACCTGTAGCTAACTGTGGCAGCAGGCATCATATTTATTAGTCTTTTAACTAGATGCATTGAAGTTTTTGAGCCAATTGAAGGTATTATTAGTGAGATAATTGCTGCTAAAGTGAAAAGAGAGAGAATCCTCCATTTTTAGAATAGGTAGAGGAAGTGACATCAGTTCATCACGTCCCAGGCCAGGCCTCCAGATGCAGATCAGATCAGTAGGCCAAATTTTCCATTTCTGGACCCGCTGACGGGTGCCAAAATAAATAAGGTGCCCCGGACTTAGCTAACTGTTGTCTCGCGTCGAGCTCTTTGCGCGATATGGACAGTCCACCTTTAGCTGCTTCTATTTTGTCCGCTCAAAATACTTTACGTGAGTCCATAAATACTGTATCTATTGTTTTTTTTAATGATTGGTAGATTTATCATCTAGACCTATAGATAGTATCTTGATAGTTTCTGTCACCGTTGTAATAGGTATTGCAGATCTTCGTGAAGTGATTACATTACTTGATAGGCATAACTACAGCAGAGCATCATATGAGCAACTTGCTCTTCATCTTGAAGTGTCTTACAATAGGCTAGAGATGATACGGAAAAGCAATCCAGGAGACGTTCAGGCTTGTTTTACAGCCTGTTTGGCTAGCTGGTTGCGTAAAGCTGATAGTATGGAGGATCCAACAATAGATAAACTGATAGCTGCTCTTAGAGTAATAGGACAGAATGCTGTAGCTGATGGTATTGCTAAAGAAAGACAAAGTATGTATAATTTTGTTTTTGTTAGTAGTCTCAAAAGTGAAAGCTTGCAACCAGCTCCCAAATGACTGTAGGCTGGGGAATGATCTGGCTGTGTGAGACTATAGTAGCTCTGCAACTGTTCAGAGCCACTGCATGAAGTCACGTAATTGCAGTTTTTAGCCTGTTGGTCCATTGTAGCATATCATGCCTCTACAATGGCAGTGTGAAACTTTTTCCGTTTATTAAATACCATGATATATAAATCATGAATGTCATCCACGGAAAAATATTGATAGTATTAAATATAGCTAATTTTAAAATTATACTGTATAGTGGGAAATTTTGGAGGGAGTAAAATTAATTTTGGTGAATTGCTAAATTTTGGTGATTGGCGGATTTTAATTTGGTGAATTTGTGGCCACATGCCATTGAGCATGCATGCGCATAATGGCTGAAAATGACAAATTCTTATTTTGGCAAATGGCTATCAAAACGCCAATTCACCAAATTTAATCAAAATTTCCCACAATACGGTACATTACCCAAGTCATACTGACTTATTTGCCCATAATCAATACTTAGCATGTACTCAATTGCTCCTATTGCATTATAACTTTATTTCATCCATAGACACCTGTACTTATGATCGCACGAGCTATCCTGAAGATACTACGAATGAGAAACATGCCAATAACATTTTGGATTCTCATGTTAAACAGCTACAGTCTCTTAATAGACCTTGTGATATAGCAAGACTGCTTCTTGCAGAAGGAATATTTAATGAAAATGAGCATAAAGATGTTGTGAAAAAAATGCTAGGACGTAGTACTAAGCTAAAATGCTGTCATTCACTTTTGCTCGACGTCGAGCTTGTCATTCAGAAAGATTACAAGAAACTTATGATGTTTGCTCGATTATGTGAAATTACTGGAAATAAAGTTGGTAACTCAATTTCAATGGATTGTTGTAAGCA